GCGGGAGGCGCGCCGCCGAGGTCGCCGTCGCCGTGTGCGGGGCCGCAGCCGCGCTCGCGGCGGCGGCTGATAGGTGGGCAGCAGCGGGCCCGTAGTTCGAGGTTCAGTGTGTTCGTCGCCGACGCGCGGCAGTTCTCGAGGCGCGCGAGGGCGTCTCGATGCATGGGGTTTGTTGGGTTGTGGGCCAATCGCGGGCGAATGGCACATGTTCGCGCCATCGGCACTGGGCCGCAGGGTGGCGTCGACGTGGATATTCGATGTCTGTGCCGAATGGGTCGGCGCCGCTTGGTTCGGCGTTCCCAATGTGCTGGTTGGTCACGCGCTTGTTCGCGTGTCGTTGCGGCCGAGGCTCAATGGATCGGGGCGGCCCAGGGTCGATGTCGGCGGGCGTTTGCATCGGGCGCAGGCGCAGTCATGGTGGCCGCGGGTCGAGGGCGGGCAGGCGGCGGGTGGGCGGGCGCGGGGGGGCGGGTGGCAGCACGACCGTTGAGGGCCGCCCACAGTGTCAGAGCGATGGCGCTGGGGTCGCGCGCAAGGTGTCGGCGATGCGAAGTGCAGAGGTTGCTGTGGTTGCCGAACTGGCGTCGTGCCCAGCCGTTGGCATTCCTCCAAGCGCATGGCTCGCCGCTCAGCGCACTCGGGGGCGCGGGGCACGGTGCGCGGCGCGCAGTGCCATTGCGCCAGGGCATTGCGCTTCGAGCGGGGGCCGCGGCGCATCGGGCTGGTGCATTAGGGGCTAGGGGCGAGAGCCGAGGGGGCAGGGCCTCGGCCGCTGGCAGCGCCCAAGTCAGGGCTGCTGCGGGGGGATGACGGCCGACTGCTTGGGGCCGCATGCGCTTCGCTCGAGGTTGGCACGCGGTGCCTGGTGGCAGAATCAAGTGCGGTGGCAGCCGACTGGCCAGGTCCATTGGCCAAGCTTCGAATGCCGAGTGTTTAGGTTATCGGGCTGCGGGCGCGATGTGAGACTTCGGGGTTGGGCTCGAGCGCTCGGGGCCAATGATGATTTGAAGCGTTGGGCGGGTTGGCCATTGCCCGCGGCCTCGCCCGACGCGCATGGGCTGATGGCTCAGGGCAATGGGGCCGAGACCACAACCCCAGGGCCTCTGGGACATGGGGCTCGGGCTCACCGTCCGAGCCGAAAGCTGATCGTGGCTCGGTGCTGAGGCGCCCTGGCAGGGGGGCGGAGACATGCGCGCGGCAGTGCGAGGAGCCGTGCGCGGGGCAGGCGGTTGGGGATTGGCGCCGCGGGCGCCTTGCCGCCTCAGACGGCCGCGCGCCCTCGTGCCCAGGGCGTCGGGCACTGGGCTTCATGCTCGGCTCAGTTGCGAGGGCGTCGCATGTCAAGGTGAGGGCATGGGCTCGGGCCCGATAGCCACGGGCGCAAGGTTCGGGGCCAGTCGGCGGAGGAGCTGGCGCTCGGGAGTTGGAGCTCGTCGGGGGCCGAGCCCAAGAGGGCTTAGGGCTTGGGCTTCTGATGCGTCGCCTCGGCGCTACCGCGCGCAATGGCGCTGGGGACGCGGCTCAATGCGCATGGCGGGGACGGGTGATTAAGCGCGTGCGAGCGTGCCTTTGCGGCCTGCAACGCGCGGCGCGTTTCTCGCAGTGGGGTCTCAGCGCGTGGCTCGGGGTTTTGACACCCGAGCTACGCGCGCCTGGGGCCGTCGGGGGCCGCGGCGCTGCGCGTGCGGTCTCGGGGAAAATACATATGCTTGGGCCGCCCCGTCTACTTGGGCCCTTGAAGCCCCGAGCGCGCGATTCGCGGCAGGGGCAGGCGCGCCGCGTGATTCGGGGCCTTGTCTTGTAGGGCCTGCGTTTGCTCGCGCCCTGGCAGGTAGCAGGCCCCTATCTTATAGCGCCCATGTTTTGCGCCCGAGAGCTCTGTGCTCGGAAATTCAAGTGTGCGTCAGCCGCGGGGCCGTCTGCAAGTTTCGCGCGGCGAGACGCGCCGTCTCGGTGCGAACTGTCAAGGCCCTGGGCTTCGGGGTCAGCTTCCAGCGCGCGGCTGGGGCCAGGGGGCTCTGCGCCCGCTGCAGACAAGTTGGGTCTACCCGCGGTGCCGCGCGGGCCGTTCCGCACATATCCACCCGCTTTGGGTTACATGTGCAGGTTTCCGGAACGGGGAGCGCGGCATCGCCGAGTTCGGTTGCGTCGCCACTCTCCCCCCTCATATGGTTCGGGCGCATGGTTTTGTTTTTGTTGTTTTTTCCCCCGCTTTGGGTGCGGTTGTTCTCGGAGTCCCGCGCAGTGCGGCGCCGTCTTGGGGCGCGACTGGGGCGCGCGTTCGCACGCTGCGCCACGCGCGCGCCTGCTCGGGCAACGCGGCGCTAGGTGTTCAGTGGCAACATGATTGATCAATAACCGTCGTTGCGCGACCGCTGCAACATCTACCATCATCGTTAACCACCGTCGTCTATTCACGGCCCGCCAAGCATGTTCAACTTATCGTCATCATTGTCTGGCATGCCACCTAAACGCACATGCACCATGCGTCATCATACACGCACCATCACCATCGTCATATATTCACATTTCGTCATGTCGCCGTTGTGCCCAGGCTTTGTCAAGGCAGGGCGCCGCCGACGACAGCCGAGTTTTCTCTTGAGCAGAGACCGCCATGGACGTCCACCTTACTGGAAACTTCAACCTCGTAGTGACTGACCCAAGTCGGCCGATATCGTATGAAAAACGCATCGACGTCGAGGTGCCCTTGACTCTGCTGATTCTCGGGTCGAAGCCAGGGGAGTCGTCATGCCCGACGGAGAGGGACGCTGGCGGTTCACAGTCGCAGGCGACAGAGCGGGAGGAGCCAGAGGAGCCCACTGTCGTTGAGGCGGGCGCGGAACAGCAGGGAGTGGACATCTCTTTCATAGAATCTGGATGGCGCGCTGAGGTGGCCGAAATTCGGCACGCGAACGGCATGGTGCCATCCGTTCCCACCGACTGGTTGCCCCCCAGGGTAGAGAGGGCGTTGTTCCAACCGCACCGTTTCACTCTGCATGCGGGCGAGGGCGCGTCTGCCCTGGCATCGGGGCAGTCGGGCGCTGAGGACTCAGCCGTATATAAGAGCGCCGACGTCCTCGCCCAGAGGTCTGCTGAGAGCGCCGCGGGCTCTCACGCGGGCGTCGGGGCATCGCAGACCCCGTCAGCTTCGGGCAAGCGCGCCGCTTTCGATCCCAATGAAGTTTTGGAAGTGCCCGATAGCTTGAGCCCAGAGAAGCCCCCGTCCGACGTAGGATCGCAGTTTGCTCCCTCCGAGCCCCGTCATGGTTATGACAGTTTGTTTCCGATGGGCGTGTGTACGCCAGCGAGGGTGCACGACGCAGGCGAGGGCCTGTGGACCCCGACCAAGGCCGTTTCAGACTCGGGCAACAGTATCCAGCCCCCGCTCAAGAGAAAGCGCAATTGGCTTTTGAAGCCAGAGTTTGGCGGCCCTGCTTCCAGCACTTACGACAGCGGGCAGAAGGCCCGATCGGCAGCCGCGGCCCTCACCGCTCCCACCCGAGGAAATCAAACCTTTGGATTTGCTGGGCCACAAGCTCCAGAGCCCTAGCATGGTGCTTAGCGAGCTCTCACAGGCTTTCCCTCCGTGAGTGTGATGGGGCGGCAGGGGTGGCGGGAGTAAGGGATGGGCGGGAGCGGGGCATGCGATGCTAACAAGTATGAGGGGTATGTCGATTGTAATTGGGGTGTGGGGAGGGATGGGTCGAGGCCAGGTCGCCACAATATCAGCCTGCTATGCGTGTGGGCGTGGCGGTGTCGCCGTTTGCTCGCTGCATGGGTCGGCTTCATCACTGCCTGATTCGGGTCATGTTTCAAAGGCGTTTGTGAATTCCAGGTGCTGGGGACGTCTGTGCCACTCAGTGCTCGTCTGCCGCTCATCTTCACTCGGGTTTGAGTGCCATTGCGGGGCAGGGCGCTCAGAGGTTGGTCCAGAGCCATGCGAGGACGTAATTATTGTGATAGTGAACATCCTTCCTCATCGTCGTCCTCTGCCTTAGTCCTTCCACTGCTCCACCCCTCGCGCCCCGCCCCTCGCCCGCCTGGTCACCCTATCCACCCCATGCACGCCCTCGCTCACATCATTTCCGTTTTCATATGCATGCTCCTCTTGATTGTGTGTACTCTCTTCGCCATCTCCAACTCTCCCTCTCGCTGCCCCTCCTCAGTCCCCTCCGTCGCCATGGTCATCCCCTTCAGCATCCCTCGCCATCTCCTCGCCAGCACCCTCATCCCTCTCCTCGGTCGTCGTTGCCCTCGGCTCGACTCCTCCTCCTCTTCCTCCCAATCCCTCTCCCCGCGCCCGTGCATCGCTCTGTGAACGCCGGCGCTGGGTCGGCGTCGGCGTGGACGTCTCGGCCGCTGGAGGACAGCCCCGCGCGCCGCTCGCGAGCCCCCCCCGCGTGCGTTTGCAGTCTCCGCCTCGTCCTCGCCACGCGCTCGCATCCCTCGTCGCATTCATTGCCATCGGCTTTGCATGGGCGGGACGTGCCTCCCACGATATCTCTCTCCCCTCCCCCCGCGGGCTGAGCAGTGCTGTCGGAGTGATTGCGGAGCTGCGCGAGAGCGAGGGCGAGCCCAATATCGGGGGCTCGATGGGGCGGGCGCTGGAATTGTCGTCGTGGGGAGTGGGGGAAGGGCGGTTATCATCAGGGTGAGGGCTGGGGCTGGGGAGGGCGATAGTGAAGCTGGTAGCTCAGTGGGTATTCTGAGTTTCAGGAGCAGATCCACAGCCGTGCCGCCCGAATCGAACTCTCGGCCCGATGTGACGGTGAAAGCCTCGCTGCGTTGTCAACGGTGCGACTGTCGCCACTCAGAGTATGCACATTTGTCGGTGAGTTGACGGTTGTCTGGGCGCCCGCCCCTTTCCGTCTCCATGCCCCTTTTGGCGGATATTGCCATTTATGCTCAAGCAAGGCTTGAACACCGAGCTTTAACGACACCTTTTTGTGTCAGGGCACAGTGCCAGCCGTACCGCCCGATTTCAACACCGCTCTCTCGACATGGGCAAGCGTGGTGACCACAATGCGAAGCCCCCGCAGAAGGTTCCCTGTGGCCAGGGCCGCAGGCGTCGTGGTTCTCAAGATGCCTCTGCCGCTGCTGCCCACTCGGCCGCGTCGGCGCTGGCGAGATTGGCTGCGCCTGACTCCTTCCAGTGCGGCACGTGCGATGTCACCGATGTCAGCATGGCGGTGCAAGATGCAACGGTGCCAACCTGCACTACGTGTTTCGATCGGTACTGCAAGGGCTTCACCCAGTTCGGCAGCTTGGAGAAGGTCCAGGAGGGCGTCAACGAGGAGGGCTCGCACATACACGGATGCTGGGAGGAGTCCAAGCGCATCGAGAAGGGCGAGGCCGCGAAGTCCTTCTTCCCGACGGCCGTCAACGAGGGTAGCCAGTTCATCATCGCGGTCGTGAAGCCGATGGTCGGCATAACCCGCGGGCAGCTCGTCTCAGACGTGCTGCACGAGGAGCCCGAGGCGCTGGGCATCAAGCTCCAGGACTTGCCCGACCACGAGGGGAACACCTACAAGGGCATCTTGGTCCCCAACCCGCAGCGGCCGTACTTGGAGTACAACGTGACGAACGAGATCTACGCCAATATGATTGCGCACAAGATGGCGCCAGACCAGCAGACTTTCGATGCGCAGGCTTTGGGCACGTACGATCACGTGCGCAAGGATCGGGCAGCGTTAAGACGCACGCCTCACGCTCGGATGCTTGATCACGGGGCGTTGTTTCCTTATGTTTTCTGGCACGACCCCCCCCTCCACGCGAAACTTGGAGGGGGCGTCGGGGCTTCCCCGACGCTTGCGCTTCGTCGCCCCCGCCCTCTATCGCCAGCTTGCCCCCCTGGATTGTTCCTGGCCGCATGTGCGCCCCTTTGCCCTCTCCCCCTCCCCTGCCTGATCCGCGGCATGGCCGAAGGAATGCCGTGAACAGGGGAGGAGGGGGCGGCGAATGAGATCGCATGACGGCGTTAGCTCGTCGCCGAGACGTTCACAAGCATCTGAGTGCGAGCGTGCGGGGCGCAGTTGTCGCAGGGCCTTTCCACCACTGGCAAGTTCAAGCCCATCTGCGTGAAGGCGCGCACAGAGGCCTACACCATCGATTCCCTGATTGCGAGGGCGGAGAACTACAGGAAGACGCAAGCGGAGATCGAGCGGAGGGCCAAAGAGGCCGAGGATGCGGCTGTTGCTGCCAGTGGCGAGAGCTCGTTCGGCGGCAGCCCTTCGCCCGCGGCTCCGCAGCAGGGCGCGCTTGCAGCGGGGTCTGGGCCGCAGCTCAATCCTGCGGCGATGGCTTGCTCGCGGTCCGTCGTCGCCCCCTCCGAGTGCAGGCCGCCGAGGACGCCTGGCGCGAGGCCTCGCGGAGGCGCCAGATCCGTCATGTCCGATGCCAAGAAGTCCGAGGTGGAGGAGCTCGTGGATAGGCGCATTTCAGCTCTGGACACGAGCAGGTGCTGGTCGGGCGCGGCCATGGGCCGCGAGCTTCGCTGGGCCAGGGAGTCGCACGAGGGCATCATGGAGGCCAGCCCCACCCCAGAGGACTCGGAGACCGCTGACAAGCTGAAGGAGCACATCTCGGTGTGCGATGCGATCTGCGGGATCGTCGAGAAGCCCCTTCGAGAGATCCCGAAGAGCAAGCTCGACAGCTTCCTGAATACCCTGGAGAAGTACAACGAGGACATGCCGAGCAAGTGGAAGTTGGATAACTTGAAGGTTAAGGTCCTAGGGGTATCGCTGGGGCACCCAACCAGAGGTCGCAGGACTGCGCGCGCGGGTCGGGGTATGGCGGGGGGAGGCGACCCGCGCGCGCAGCCACTGGCCTGTGTTTGCAAACCCTTGCCGTGCCCCGAAGGTGGGCGACCTCTTGAAGAAGCCTGACATGTGCATGCAGGATTTCTTCTATATGATTGCGCCGTGGGAGGTCCAGCACGCCGAGGGCAATGGGAGCCTCACGTACAGGCCGACGTACCCCAGGGTGATCACGTTGGACGGCAGCCAGGCGGACAAGATCAGCCAGTGCGACGCGTTCTTCACCGAGGCGCTGAACCATCACATCCATGCTGGCGAAGGCGGCCGATCCCAACTTGTTCAGTTCTGCACCTCCTGCCTCGACTGGATCGACAACAACTGCCCCGAGGATGAGGCCTTCGACGATGTCGTCAACACGATGGCGCAGTGCTTGAAGGCTCTCCTGTGCATTGCCAGCCCAGACAAGATTGCCTACCACGATTCCATAACTAAAATGGGGGAGGCCAAGTCGCAGTGCCCTGGGCAAGCGTGCCTCCGCCACCTGAACTTGTCGGTGAAGCGCTCGGAGTTCTACACCAGCCTCAGGGCCGTGCGAGTGCGAGTTCACGTTGGCTTTCGTGGGGGGTGCTCGCGCTCTGGAGATTGTGGCCCTTGGGGGTGGGCAGGTGGTTCACGCAGTTTGTGGTGCCTGAGGGTGGCGTGGGGCCTAGTGGGCGGGTGGGCGGAGACGGGTTCAGATCGCGCAATTCGAGGGCGGGCGAAAGACTCGGGGGGGGTGTACGAGGCCGGCCTCGATAATACTAGTGATTGAGCGCGATGCTGGTGGAGGGAGGGCCTGGGTGGGCTAGGGGCGGCTGAGGTTGGGCATGTATGGGTTTAGGTGATCAGGAGTTGAGGCGCAGGGCTGGGCGGGGAAGGCGGCACATCGCCAGATTTAAGGGCTGCACCTTCGGAGTGTACGAGCACCCTCCCCCTCAGCGCTTTCCAACGTGAGCTTCTGCCCAGGATGAGTGCACGCAGTACTACACCAAGACGCAGGAGCACTGGCCCGAAGTTTGCAGCCTGCTCAGCAAGATGGAGCAGTGCAAGACCGTAGCGGAGTTTGTGCAGTCGGGTAACATGGCGATCGCTCTGAATAAGGTGGCCATGTTCGCCATGTATTGTCGGCCAGGCTCAATCGACGGCTTCAAGTCTAAGCTGACGGCGCTGTTCGAGAAGTACCTCGCCGACCTGCCGCAGGGCGACCCGTCCAATGACCCGAATGGCAAGGCTCTGACCGCGAGGCTGGCCGAGACAAAGGCGTTGGTGACTGCAGCGAAGATTGGCTTGCCAGAGAAACATTCCGTGTGGGCGAAGGCCTTGTCGGATATCCAGAAGCAGGAGTCCTCCGTGAACAAGTTCAACGCCAGCCAGGGCCTCGGGCAGCTGGCGTCGGCCTTGAATGCAGATGCATTGGCAGATGATGCGACGCGTCTCAGCGTCATTCCCGTGATCGAATCTGTCTTGGCCGCGGGTGGCAGGGGCGTTGAGGCCCATAGAGGGAGCGGCGCTGCCATCTTCCAGCACGTCCTCGACGGCATCGCCATGAATTGCACCCAGCCTGACCATGCGGAATCCTACTGTGACATCCTCCTGAAGCTCGCAGAGGCGGAGTGGCTGACCGACGCCTCGGGTACAAAGCTGAAGGCTGCGACCGACATGATCAAGAACTGGGCACCGCTCAACACCCACGTCGCGAGCTGGGATGGCCTGGCGTCCGACGACGAGAGCCGACTGCGGCACGGCAATGCGAAGAACATCATCCAGGGCATGATCGCAACGCTCAAGGCCATCAAGTCAGCTGGCATGGTCTCGGGCATGGGCGGCTTGGAGACTGACGCGACTAACGCTGGCCAGAAGACCGAGACGGCGAGCTTGGTGGCTAAGACGTCTACCATCAGGGTGCTCTCTGAGAAGACGAACGTTCTCAGGCCGATCAGCCGTGGCGGCGACGACGAGGGCGACCCGTGGGACTGCGGGATGCCCGACGGCAATGGGGGGATTGAGGAGGTCTTGGAGCGCGCCTTCGAGACCATCATGCTGATCGACGGCTCGGCCTACCAGGAGAAGATCGACGCGGTGCAGCATGCCTTCGAGGAGGCGCTGGAGTGGTCCGAGGTCTTCGAGTACCAGGTTGATACCAGCGTCATCGACGACGCGAACAAGGTGCTCTGGAACGCCATGGCCACCAAGTACACGGCCCTGCTCATCCGCACCTACAAGGAGAACTCAAGCAACCCGCCCAAGTTGCGCCGCGAGATCAACAACTACAGGAAGCAGATCAAGGAGCAGTCGGGCGTCGAGAAGGCGATGCGCCAGGACGTCATGGAGTGGGCGTCGAAGATGTGCTCCCTCAAGGGCTGAGCTGGGCGAGGACGCCTTGCTGTCGGGGACATGGGTTACGGTGACATGGGGCACCCAGGAGAAGAGAGCGCAGTGCTCTCAGGAACATTCAGTTCATCATATTCTGCCATCTTCTCGAGCCGCATCTTCGTCCTCTCACATAGGCGACGCTTCGCGTTTTGCCGCCAGCCCGCCGAGCGAAGCACTGCCATGCGAGTTGCATTGATTAGGAGGCGCGCGGCTCCTCCAATTGCATGGCCGAGCCAGCCGTCAAGCCCGCTCTCGAGGTCAGCCCCAGCAAGCCAGCGCGCTGAGTTGCTCAGCAACTCGTCGGAGGATGTCGGATGGCACGCTCGATGCCGACATCGATCGTGAGATCGATATTGAGATCGATTCTCATCGATAGTGAGTTCGATAGAGAGGTTGATAGTTGCATCGGTAGTGGCATCGATAAGGGGGCACCGATAGTGACACCGATCGTGAGATCGATCGTGGGATCGGTAGTGGGGTCGCTAGTGACATCTGTAGTGACCGAGAGTGAGGTCGATAGTGAGATTGATCGTGAAGCCGATCATGATATCGACAGTGAGAGCGATAGTTAGATCGATGGTGGGACCAATAGTGAGAGCGTAGTCATATCGATAGTGAAATCGATAGCGACATCGATAGTGGACCGATTGCGAGATCGGTCATGCGCGGGCCAGTACGGTTGCCTTTACCCCTCCCTGTAAACAAGGGGCGCGCGGGCTGTGCTTATCAGCTGGTCGCGGGGCATGGGCCCCGATGGGTTTAGCCACGCGGTCCGCGCGCGCGTGGCTATGTCGTTTCGCTGGGTGGGCCTCGTCGGCGAGTGGGCGTAGATTCATGGGCGGGGGGGGGCGCGTGGGCGTCGGCCTTTGGGCATGGCCGAGTGGGCGGGGCCGCTCGGGTGGGGCTCGTTGCAGTGGAGGCACGAGCGGTGCCCGAGGGGCTCGGCCCCGCGGTGCAGGGGGGCCCGCGGATACCGTCGTGTTGGCGGTGTCAGTGGGTCGGGGCTGCGAGGGCGGGGCCCCTCTGGCGGGGCAACATGGGCGGGGCCCCGCGGGGCCCATGACGATGCCGTTTGGTTTAGATCATGCTGGCGGGGGCTCGTCGGCGGGACCGTCTCGGCAAGGGCGCGCGCACTGGGTTCGGTTGTTTTGCCCCGCGTGCGGGGCCGCTCGCCAGTGGGCCCGTTGGTGGTCTCACGGACGGCACAGATTTTGTAAGTTCGGCTTATCGGTCGCGGCCGCGCGGGCGGGGCGTCGCGGGCGGGGTCACGGGGGCGGGGCCATCGGGCGGGCACTGCGAAACCGCATCATGCATTGCCCAGGACAATTCCTGAGTGCAGTGGGGCAAGTGCTTGGCCGTGCAAGCAATTATTCCGAGCGCGTTTCGCAGGCTGCTGCATCGCCCGCGTTGGTCGTTTTCGTCCGTAGGCGCTCCCGACTTGCACTATCAGCCAGGTTTGCTCTGGCTTTTTTCGTAGCGCTCGAGAAACGCCGCACCCCCGCGCGCCCAGGACTTAGCTGGGCAGCGGCGCAGCGGCAGAAGTGCCGCGATGCGCTCGGTGATCCCCGACCAGGGTCACCGCGCGATCACGGTCTGGCAGTTGCGCGGCGGTGCGCGCGGACGTTCAACTATGGGCGCAGCCGCCCCCGCGACGTAACGTCGCCATTATAGCTCCTGCCTTTTTGGCGCGCGCAGTCTGTGGGTTTGCTGTCCCAGCGAATGGTTTCAGTTGTTTCGTTTCCAGCTAGCGCGGGCGGCTCTTCATTATGAGGCATGATGCTGGTTGTTTCAGCAGGCCGTCGCCGAGTTCCCACGCGCGCGCCCCGTCCGTTGCGATGGGCGTGGATTTGGTCGGCCAACGAATCGATGCACCAGTCTTTGCGGCGTTGCATCGGCGACGCCGCATTGCAAAAAGCCGTTGGTACTTTGGAACCTATTTTTTTTTTGGTTGCTACTTTCTACGTTTTTCGTAGGTACTTTGGAATGTACCCTAGAACCTATCCGTGTAGCTACTTTGCTCTTTTTGGCCACCCTCTTGACGTAGCGGGACGTGCCTATCATAATGCCGCCCATGCTTCAGCGGCAGGTTCCCCCGCCGCAAGGGAAAGAGACCCAGGCGCGCGCTTCGCGCCGGGTTCCCCCGCCGCAATGGAGACGGACCTCGGCGAATATGTCCCGCCTGGCTCCCCCGCCGCGAAAGAAAACGACGTGGCGGAGTGCTTGGCGCATGCTCTCGTCTCCGCGAGAGCGCGCGCGCCTGCCCCCCCCCCCCCCCCCCGCGCCCCGCGCGCCCCCTTTCCCCCCGGAGGAGGGCGGCGCGGGACAGCCAACAATGAATAAGAAGACGGCAGCGCCGGCCGCCAGCGCGCGCGCTGCCTCGGGCCTGCTAGTGTGATCTCGCGCTGCTTCGTTGGGCGCTGACCACTTGCAACCGCGAGCCGGCTTCTGCGGCGGTGTCCAACCTCTGTGGACTAGAACTGGCTTGCCCGATCCTCGCGGGGAGGCATCTCCCCGCGCGCCTTGGCTTGGACTTGCAGGGCGCCGCTCCTCCCCGCGTAGAGGCTGAGTCGGGCTACCAGGGAAATTCGCAGCCGGGGCCAAAGCGGTTCCGTGAGGGCGACCGCGCTGGGGAGTCAGCCATGTGCGAGGCAGTTGCGGACGCGTCTCCCCCGCTGCCTAAGAGTGCACGAATGCCCCCCCGCGCGCGCAAAACCCCGCCCTGGCGGCGCAAACGCATCGGCCCGCGCATTTCGTCACGCCGCGGTTTAGGGGCACTTGCCTGCATGGGCGAACTCTTCGCGTCGCGTGCGAGCCCCCGACCTGTCCGTCGGCCCCGCAGTCTTCTCATTGTAATTATCTGGGCAATGCCGCGGGCTATCCTGTGATGCGCGGGCTCCTCGCTGGACCCGGCCGCCGCGCGCCCCCGCGCTAGCGGGCGTGGCTGAGCGGCCCCTATCCGCTAGCGCATTTCCCTTGCCTGCCGTTTGCAGACGTTGCCGCTGCAGGAGTTCGGCGCGCAGGTCACGGGGCCACTCGCCGCATTTGTTCGGGTCGCCTCGTCCATCCTGTGACATGCCGCGCATGTCGCGCTCGATCTGCGTTCTGGACCAGGGTTCAAGGATGGGCGACTCAGGCGCGGATGTCGTGCGCAGTGGAGCGCAGCCCCAATCCTCGATGAACTTGCCGAGGCAGCCGCCAGTTGAGGCGGGCGGAGTCAAAGATGCGGCCAGCTGCTTCGACCAACTGCTCCAATCCAGGATCATGCAACATCTTGTCGTAGTTTGACGTGTCGGCCGCTGGCCTTTGCATCTTCCGTCCGTAGATTGACCCTCCTGCTGAGGTCGAATGGCGTTGCTGCGTGCTGTGGCTACTTTCATGTCGATTGTCTCGAACTCGCCACTGCCCGCGAGGGGCTCACAACCAGCTGCAGCATCCACGATCGCGCAGAGCCCAATGAAATACTCATCTGGTCTACCTGAGACAAGGCTCGTCGTTTCATCCACTTCCTGCTTCCAAATGCCCGAAGTGCGGCGCAGCCGGCAGGCCCCAGTATACAATGAGTTCGGCCTCGCTGTGATTCGTTTTGATTTAGCGGACTCCGAAGCACATATTCTGCGCCGCTCTGCCGCTCGCGAGATGACCCACGGCCCGCCCCGCGAAGCTCATCCCCGCAGGGTGTGTGTGTGGGGGGGGGGGGGGGGGGGGGGGGGGCGGCCTTTATGTACTTCGACCTGGATAAATGATCGCGCCCACTGGGCCCCTATCGGCGCGGTGCGTTCGCGCTGGCCAGGGCTCTCAGATTCGGGCGCGACGTAACCGCAATGGATCTGCTGATGTGTCCTTGGCACCCATTGTCTTCGGCGACATGGGCGCAAACTGTGGCGAAGTGGACGCGGGCCGTGGCAGCCCCACTACTGGGCTCACGCGCCTCGCAGCCATCGGTGCCTGTCGAGCAGAAGCTGCTGAGAAACGTCTCTCCGATTCATCTCCTATGATCGCCCATCCTTTTGGTGATCGCATCGACCAACTTCAACCTGGCAGTTTCAGCACCCACCCCATGTCAAGTCCTATCCAGGCTCATGGCGTTCATGCTGGCGTGGCTCTGCTGATGGCTAGTATAGTCGGCAATTTCATGTTTGCGTGCCTCGAATATTTCGCGCGTGTCTCTGACATGCTTCCGCGCGTCCAGCAACGCTTCTTCGCGTGCGGAGATTGCGCCGTCATCTGCGAGAAGGCTCGGCCATCCGCGTGATTCAGCTGCCCCTGGGGGGGGGGGGGGCGCGGTTTGCCCTCGCGCGGCCGCGACATGTGGCGCCTGACTCTGGACCACCTGCTCTCAGCGAGCGGTAGCGCTTGAAGGGCTCCGTTTTCAGCGTGGATATCACGCGCCGTCGCGCCGCTTATGCCGGAGCAAGGCGACGCCGCAAGCAGCCCCGCGATGCGCGCGCGCCAGTCCGGGCCCAACCGCTGCGCCGCTGCGCGCCCCGTTGCTTGCGAGCTCGGCTGGGCATCCGTCAGCGCCGTTTCCCTGCGCGCCTCTGCGCGCTCTCTCTCTCTCTCTCTCTCTCTCTCTCTCTCTCTCTCTCTCTCTCTCTCTCTCTTTCTATTTCTCTCTCTCTCTCTATATTTTTGTTGTTCTCTCTCTCTCTCTCTCTCTCTCCCTCTCTCTCTTCCCCCCCCCCCTCTCTCTCTATTTCCTTTTTTTGTTGTCTCTCTCCTCTCTCTCTCTCTCTCTTTCTCCCTCTCTCTCTCTCTCTCTCTCTCTCTCTCTCTCTCTCTCTCTCTCCCCCTCTCTCTCTCTCTCTCTCTCCCTCTCTCTCTCTCTCCCTTACGTTATGTGTTAGTTTTTTTGTTGTTTCTCTCTCTCTCTCTCTATGTCTCTCTCTTTCTTTTTTGTTTTCTCTCTCTCTCTCTCTATATATATATATATAACCTCAGGAAGGCATTAAGAACCCCCCCTGGGTTATTCTTAGCACCCGGTTTTCTCAATATTCCAGGCGGGCAGTTTTAGCCGAACGACGCACTTAGCACCCGCCGCACACAGAAAACAAAATCCACCATCGGCGGCCGCCCCACTAACGCCAAGAGAGGGTGTCGTGACGAACGTCAAGGATCTAGCCCAGATCGGACGACGACGACGACGACGACGACGAGGAGGAGGAGGAGGAAGACGAGAGTCTTCAGAGTGGACAGCGGTCTGAGCGAGTCCCCTCAGCCAGGTCTTCCGGCGCGGCCATAACGCTTCAGGGTGCGGGGGCGTTATGATCCACCGGAAAAGGGGGGGGGGTTCTTAATGCCTTCCTGAGGTTATATTCAGGAGTCCGGCGCGGTCGTCATAAAGCTACTCGTAGCTTGCGTTTGGATCGCCTCGCGCCACGATGATGTCCAATCTACGTTCTGAATAGGGGCGCAAGGCTGGGCGACTCAGGGAGGGCTTTCGCGCCCAGGAAAGTGCAGCCCCAATCGTCAATGACCTTGCTGAGGCCGCTGTCGTTCGTGCGAATAACGCGTCGGTGAAGTCACAGACGAGCCCGTCTGCTTCTACCAACCTGCACCAACCCATAATCATGGAAAGGACTTCTCGTCCATTAACAAGCCGGGCCGTTAGTTTTAGCTTCTCCCCCCCCGCGCGTCGACCCGGACTTTCGACGCGATCAAGCTCATTGCTCCCAGCGGGCTGTTGCGGTCGAAGGGCACCGACGTTGGCCTGGAGCTCGCGCCGCAGGTCGTCGCGCCGCTTATTCCAGGGCGCATCGTGGCCCAGCGCTGTCCGCTGTTCAGGGAGACAGGCATTGCTACCCGGTTTTTGCTGATGCGCCTGACCCCGATCCCTGCCACTCTGGGCCACACGGGCTTCGACAGCAGAGCGGGCTTCTTCAGCGCCGATAACAGAACGCTGCTTGCGATTGACCGGCCAATGTGGCCATTGCCCGAGCTTTTCCTGCAAAAGGCCCGCGATGGCTGGCCGACGCGCTCACGGCAAGCTCTCGCACGTTCTGTGAATGTGCCGCGGAGGGCCAGGAGGGCATCTCTCCTTTGCTACGAAAGAGCCGCTTATGATTGCCTGGCTTGCTCCTACAAGGCGCTCTGCATATTCGGCAGGCCGCTTGGCAGCATCGGCGCGTCGACTCGACGCGCACCTTGCTCGTGGTTAACACCGATTCGACGTTTATCCGCTCCGTCCACGTCAAATCCGGCGGTCGTCATTCTGGGCCGCAGCATTCCGACGCGCAGTGGGAGATACCCCAAAAAGCGGAGTCGTGGGGTTTGCCTGTGTCCCGCGCTCTGGCCCATCCAGGCTGACATTGATGCTCCAGTTTGATGTGGTGTGCGACCGCGCGGGAAGGGCGCATGATCGAAGGGGCATGACAGAAAGCCCCCCTACTCCTGGCGCTTCCGATTTCATCCTGGACGCGGCTGGCCCTGCCATGGCGCCAAGTTTCCCCGACGCAAGCGTTCCAGCGGCAGGCTTCCCGCCGCAGCGCCAGCCGCGTTAGGCTTCCGCGCCGAAGCGCCCGCGGCGTCCGCCCCCCCCTCCCCGCTCCGCCGCAGCGCCCGTGGCGTCACGAGCCCCCGCCGTACGTCCCGCTGTGCGAAGCACTGGCGGGCGCCAGGGCGTCGACGTTAGACCCGATAGTAATGGCACGTTCGTCACCTGTCGTGGCGGCGAGACCTGGCCGCTCGCATGCCGTAGCGCTCGCAGCGCGGCCGTCTGCGGCCCCAGATTCGAGATCATGGCCTCCATATTCGCAGCCAGCGAGTCCGACGTGTTCACACACACACACACACACACGCACGCGTGAACAAGCGTTTCGGCTGATAACTTATGTATGAAGATGGGGTGGCCTGAGCCTAACCTTACCATCTTGGGCCAGCAAAGGCCCCGTCAGCGTTTCGAGCTTGCGTCTCGCCGTGACGGCCGCACGCGCCTGTCTTCGTGCCGCTCGTACACAACAGCTGCGATCTGCAGCCCACCCTGCACCAACACAAACAGGAGGAGCGGAAGAGGAAAGGGCGGAGGAGGGAAGGACCCTGACAGAACCAAGACCCCCCGAAACCCTGACTGGGGCAACCGTCAAACACGTGGCAAGAACGAGTGGCACAGAACACAATTGTGGCCTCTGGGGCCCGGTTCCGGCCCCCCGAACTGGGTCCAAGACGAAAGAGTGTCCCTGGGAAGGGGCTGGGACCTCTGGGGCCGCGCATTGAAAGAATCCCATCGCCGGGTGTCTGGGAGCCCGGCGGGGCGCGGTTGTGCGAGGATAGTGGTGAGGCGCGGGGCGAAGGTGACGAGGCGAGGCGAAAGCGACACGAGCCGAGGGGGACGCCCCGCCACGCTGCAGCAGCGCCCTGGGCGAAGGATTCGTACATTGAGTTCCAGGCTTGGTTGTGGGCGTCGTCGTAGTCGACATTATTTCGTCGCCCTCCCCAAATCGGTTGTTGGCAGAACTGGGTTTAGTGGGACCTGGTTCAGTGATTTGTGCCGGGGGCGCCCCCCCGCCCCATTTCCACTCACCGGAACTGCCGTCACCCTAAAAAACACCAGTTACGGCAAACCTGGTTGAGTGAATCTGGCCAATGGAGGGGCCCCAGGGCCCTTCCACTAATCGGGTCCCCTTATCCGGGGCCCTGGCTATACCCGAAGGGTGGGGTTCACGTCGCTCGGGAGCTCCCGACCGAAGTGAACCCCACCCTCCCCCTCAGTAATCACGGGGGGCAGGGGTAGGGTTCGCCTGTGCCCCTCTGCGCCTGCCGCCGCCGCCGCCGCTATACCCGACCCAAAACTATCCGCAGCGGCTCGAACCCCAGCGGCTGCTGTCGTGGGGGCTCGAGCGTGCGGGCTTCCAGCCTGCGGCCGCCGTCCGAGGCGGGCTCCGCCGTGGCGACAAAGGCCCAGAAAGGGGCAGCGGAACGCCAGAGGAGGACGAGGAGGAGGGAGGAGGATGAGGAGGAAGAGGCGGAGGAGGAGGGGGAGGAGGCGAAGGAGGAGGAGGAGGAGGAGGAGAAGGAGGAAGAGGCGGAGGAGGAGGGGGAGGAGGTGAATGAGGAGGAGGAGGAGGAGGAGGAGGAGGACAAGGATGAGAAGGAGGCGGAGGCGGAGGAAGGGGCGGAGGCGGCGGAGGAGGAGGAGGTGGAGGACGGAGGCGGAGGAGGAGCCGGCGCACCGGGGCCCCCGCGGGGCCCTCCGGCGTGGCAGCGAGCCCGGCGACGGCGCTCAGCCCGCTCCACGCGCCCACCCGGACGCCGTCCGGGTCGCCCAGCGCGGCGTGCCACACCCGCTCCTCGCCGCAGCCAGTGCTGGCGGGGGGCCCTCCTCCCCTGCCAGGAGGCAGCTCATCGAAGGTCTGCTGCGAGGCGGGGATCTATCCATATCCTCTGCCTGGGAACCGACCTCCTGGTGCCCCAGCGGACGCTGGATACATATATATATATATATATATATATAAATATAAATAAATAATTGCATACACACACATATTATGTATATATACATATACACATACATGTTCACATACGTATGCATACATATATACACATATATATATATATATACACATACATGTACATGTACATGTACATGCACACATACATATACATATACATATACATATATATATATATGTGAACATATACATGCACATACACATACACATACACATATACACATACACATACACATACACATACACATACATGCATGCATGCATACATGCATACATACATACATATATATGTATATATATATATATATATATATGTCGGCCCCAGGAGGGCCCGAATATGTCCATATCCACCGCCTGCCGAGGTTCCGAAAACTGACCTTCCAGGCGCGGTGGTCATGTAAAAACTTCCGCCTCGAATCTCAGCGGGAGCGATCAACAACTTTTGATGCACATTCATGGGTCATGTGATCGACAAGGGAGCAGCGGGTCTTACGCATGATGACGTAGCGGCATTGCGCCGTGGCTTACGCGAGCCGTCTGCGCGGACGGCTCACGCGCGACCTTGCGCGGGAACCTTCCGCGACGACGTCCGCGCAGACGGCTCCGTTTTTCTGCGTCGCTCATGTGGCCAGATTACTACGCCAGCTAAAAACCGAGGGCCGCGCCGGACTGAGCGAAGGCAGACGGAATACAAAAGGCTGCTAAGCGATAAAATGCAGGATTAGCCAGCTTCTGCACAGATATAGCGCCGATGCTGACTTCACCCAGGGCTGGACCTAAACGCTGTCTTTCGTCTTGAGTTCGTTTTGTTGTTCGTTTTGCTCTACCCGTTTTCCTGTACCTCCCTGCCAAAAACAAAAACAACAAAAAAAACAAAACACGGCCGAAGCCCAACAAAACAGCGCTTAGGCCCAGCCCTGACTTCAACCTCCCAGGAGTTGCAACCGACCCACTGCCAGGAACGAGGGGAGGAGGCTCCCCTCTTTTGGACGCCCGAAATGGGTATGGAAAGAATGGGTACAATGCCCAACAACAAATGTTGTTCCAAACCAACAGCGGCTGCTGTTGGGCAGGCGGCCGTCTGTCTCGAATGGACCCAGGCCGCGGCGTCGTGGACAGCGAGTCCGGTTCAAAATGAACAAGATTCGCTGTTCGGCATTGTACCCATTCTTTCAGTACTCCAGATTTCGTAAAAAAAAAAAAAAAAAAAAAAAAAAAAAAAAAAAAAAAAAAGGAGGGGGTCTGGACCCTCCAAGACAAGCCATTTCAGACCTCCCCCGTGGGAGAACCCTCCCAAACATCGCCCCCGGACCCCCCCGGGCCCTCCAAGACAGCCTGGAAGAGACCCCCCCCGAAATGAGACCCCCCTCCCTTTATTTGGGCGCCCGAGTTATCCGGGGTAACTCGGGTCCGGGGTAGCTCGGGCTTGGGTTCCCGAAAAAACGAACCCGAGTTATCCCTGACCCGAGTTACCCCTGATGATTCGGGGCTCTGGACGCCCGAGTTATCCGGGGTAACTCGGGTCCGGGGTAACTCGGGTTCGGATTCCCGAAAAAGGAACCCGAGTTAACCCTGACCCGAGTTACCCCTGATGATTCGGGGCTCTGATTTATCACGAAATCTGGAGCACCCCTTCCGTGCGCCCAGACCTCTCCCAGGACCCCTGCGGGGGCCAGCTCTGCCCGGCCCCGGCGAGTGATACCCCCGAGGGTCGACCTCGCGGGGGGCCGCGCTCGGGCCCCGGGGCCCTCCGAGGCGGACCCGGGACGGTCCTCCTCCTCCTCCTCCTCCTCATCCTCCCTCCTCCTCCTCTCCTCCTCCTCCTCCCTCCTCGCCTCCTCGCCCTCCGCCTCGTCCTCCTCCGCCTCCTCGCCCTCCGCCTCCTCCTCCTCCGCCTCCTCCTCCTCCGCCTCCGCCTCCTCCTCCGCCTCCTCCTCCTCCGCCTCCTCCTCCTGATCCTCCTCCGTTCCTGTTCCGTATGGGTAACTTTTCCCTGTCGCACCCCGGGGCCAGTTTTTGGGGCGGGCCGGGCGTTGCGCCTGAGACTTCCTTACCACTGATGGCTCTGAAGCTTAAAATTGACGACAGTTTCACAAATTGAGAGCGAGTGGTTTTCAAAATGTGGCTCTCGCCTTAGCGCGGTGCGCATGTTTTTTTTATAAGCTTTGCAAGAGTTTCACATATTGAGGGCGGCTGGTTTTCAAACTGTGGCTCTCGCCTCAGAACGGCGCAGTTTAAACAAATTGAAAGAAATTCACGGATTGAGGGCGGGTGGTTTTCAAAATGTGGAGCTCGCCTTCGCGCGGCGCACTTTTGCTTTAAACATGTGCAAAGGTTCCTCGGATTGAGGGCGGGTGGTTTTCAAAATGTGGCTCTCGCCTTCGCGCGGCGCACATTCGCCTTTAAACATTTGAGAGTTTCACGGATTCCCCCTCGTTAGCGTACCAGAAACGGTGTGTTGGAAGGACTCAGGATTATGCGGCTGCAGCAGTTACGTAGATTCTCTGTGTTGAAATCCTACGAATGGCGTTCTGGCCCGGTTCTGGATCGTCAAGACGCAACAGTCAGGTTGATCCGTAGCGTTGTAATCCCGAGAACAATGTTGTTTAGCATGCTTCATGGTCTTCGAACGGGTGTCTTTCAACGAGGCAGTTCCATCAACGGAAATGAACCTCTGTTGGGGCCTATGAAGAGGGAGCTTGGAGGGAGGGGGTTTACTCCAACATCGTTGATGACTCTTGGGTTTACACTGGTCCTCCTCCTCCTCCTCCTCCTCCAAACTGTGATCACCCTGACGCCGCGCCCCACTGAGAGAGAAGGCAAACATTCGGCACACCCCTCATACGTTTCGTGGCCCCATAGGGAGCTCCGCCGGAGGACCCAGGTGGCAGGGTTCGCATAGGACCGCCGCCCCCATTCCGGCACACCCCTCACATGCTTCGTGGCCCCTTGGGAGCTCCGCCGAAGGCCCCAGCGGCAAGGTTCGCATGGCACCGCCGCCTCCCTTTCGGCACACCTCTAACACGCTTCGTGGCCCCATGGGGAGCTCCGCCGAAGGCCCTCGGGGCAGGGCTCTCATAGCACCGCCGCCTCCATTTCGGCCCCCCCCTCACACGCATCGTAGCCCCACAGGGGGTTCCACCGAGGGCGATACTCACTCCGACGTTACTCACAGCTGCATGCGGTTGGGTCCATCGCCACGATAATTGGTGTCACTGTGCGCTTATATGCTTTTCGCGTTCTCACGTTTTCGGAATTCCGACGCTCCAGGATTGCCCCAGAGGCCAGCAAGACCGCCCCAAGACTGCCCAAGAGACCCCCAAACAGCCCAAGAGGCGCCCAAGAAGGGCCCAAGAGGGCGACCACGAACCGGCAATTCGAGCCTTCCGCCCCAAGAGGCCCCCAGAAGGCCTCAAGAGGCCCCCAAGAGGCCTCCAAAAAGCCCAAACAGAGGCCCCAAGAGGCTCCCACACGGCCCCAAAGAGGCTTCAAAACTGCCTCCAAGAGGCCCCCGAGAGGCCTCCCATACTATTCCAAACGAACACCCAAGAGGCCTCTAATCCACAACGCGGGATGGGCCGAACGCCACTAGATCCGCCGCCCCTGTTGGCTTGCCAGAGGGGTGCCGGGCGTGCTAGATTACTTCGGACTTGGTTCTGGTTCTGTTTCCAAAAGAACTCCCCCTGGGGCCCGTCCCGCCGGCCACCCGAAAGGATCTTTCAGAGGTGGTTGCCGAGGGTTTTCCTGCCCCAGGTGGCTCCAAGACGACCCAAGATGGCCTCCAAGATGCTTCCAAGACGGCCAAGATGGCCTCCAAGACGGCTAAGATGGCCTCAAGATGCCTCCAAGACGGCCCAAGATGTACCCAAGACTGCCTAAAATAGCACTCCCAAGAGGCCTCCAAGAGACGGCCAAGATGACCTCCAAGACGCCTCCAAGACGGCCAAGAAGGCCTCCAAGACAGCGAAGATGGCCCCAACATGCACCCAAGACGGCCCCAGATGGTCTGAAGGTGGCCTTCAAGGTGGCCCCAAGACCGCCCAAAAGGCCCGCAAGAGTCCTCCAAGACGGCCCAAGAGCCCTCCAAACCTTCATCCAGGAGGCCCGAAAGCTCGGAAACCACCTGGTCCGATAGCTCGCCCGACTCCGTGTTCCCCGAAGGCTTTCAAAAACCCACTCGGGGAACGCGTGGCCCGATAGCTTGACCAAGCTCAAACCCAACTTTCGGCCACGCAGGCGCTTCCAACAAGGCAGGGGGTGGCGGTGATTCTCCGTAGGCGTCTTCGATCAGCGGGGGGTGGGCGGAGGGGAGTGGGGGGAGGGAGGCGCCACGATGAGTGCAAGATAGGTCCAAGATGGCTCCAGGGATGTTCGAAGAGGCCGCCCTGAGGGGAGGTGAACGCACAAGAGCGTATTGCGACACGCCTGGGCCGTCTTGGAGGCATCTTCGGCCGTCTTGGGGCGCTGTTGGGCCGTTGTGGGGCTCTCTTGGAGGCCTCTTGGGCCGTCTCGGGGCGATCGTGGGGCCTTCTGGGGCCCTTTCCCCCAAATCCTTCAAAACCATACAGAACGTCGACGAATTTTGAGCGGGAGGAGGGAGGGAGGGAGGGAGGGAGAGAGGGAGGGTGGATGATGATGAGGATGAGGATGAGAATGAGGATGAGGACGATGATGTTGACGACGACGATGACGATGATGATGATGATGATGATGATGATGATGATATGATGATGATGATGATGATGATGATGATGATGATGATGATGATGATGATGATGATGATGATGATGATGATGATGATGATGATGATGACGACGACGATGATGAGGAGGAGGAGGAGGAGGATGACGAGGAGGAGGACGAGGAGGAGGAGGAGGAAGAGGAGGAGGAGGTCCTCCTCCTCCTCCTCCTCCAGAGTCCCCACTGCGGGTGCAGCTGCCAGGCTTCGACGGGCGGGGAGGACGCAAAGGGCCCTGGCCGCCGAGGCAGCGCTCCGAGGGACGCCGCCCGCCCCGGGGGGTGTCCTCGGAGGCCGGCCCGTGGACGCGGCGAGCAGAGGCAAGGACGCCCGGGTACCCCAAGTTGAGCAGGGACCGACCGTCCTGGCATTCCTACAGTCCTACCACGGAATGTTCTTAGAACCCCAAAATGTTCTAAGAACAAACACAATGTTCTTCGAACATAGACCTGATGTTACAAAACGAGACAGGCTCCGCCAGAACTGCTCTGAGAACAGTTCGTGGGAACCACACAAGAGGTTCTTAGCACATTGTCTGGTGGGGCTACAGGCGTGCCAGGACGCTTCGCCACTGCTTGACGTCGGCCCTTGCTGTGGATTTGGACTCTCACTCGACGCCGCTTGGAAGGCCCCTCCCCCCCTCGCCCCAGTTGGACGCCCGAATTATCCAGGGTAACTCGGGTCCGGGGTAACTCGGGTTTGGATTCCCGAAACAGGAACCCGAATTAGCCCTGACCCGAGCTATCCCTGATGATTTGGGGGCTCTGGACGCCCCAATTATCCGGGGTAACACGGGTCCGGGGTAACTCGTGGCCACCTACCAGACCACCCCAACCCAACCCGAAGACCCGAATTTCGGGTTGGGGGGGGGTAGGGGTTCCACATGTGTTTTTTCGATGTTCCCCGACCCCCCCACACTGGAAATGGAGGGCAAATTGAGGCCTTCGGGTTGGGTTGGGGTGGTTTGGTGGGTGGTGAACTCGGGTTCGGAATCCCGAAAAGCGAACCCGAGTTAGCCCTGACCCGAGTTACCCCTGATGATTCGGGGCTCTGGACGCCCGAATCATCCGGGGTAACTCGGGTCCGGGGTAACTCGTGGCCACCTACCAGACCACCCCAACCCAACCCGAAGACCCGAATTTCGGGTTGGGGGGGGTAGGGGGTCCACGTGTGCTTTTTCGACGTTCCCCGACCCCCCCCCCCACTGGAAGTGGAGGGCAAGTGGAGGCCTTCGGGTTGGGTTGGGGTGGTTTGGTGGGTGGTGAACTCGGGTTCAGAATCCCGACAAGCGAACCCGAGTTAGCCCTGACCCGAGTTACCCCCGATGACTCGGGGCTCTTGATGAGCGCGTTTTCCACCACCACCACCATAAGTTGGATGGGGCGAAGGGGGAGGAGGAGGAGGAGGAGGAGGAGGAGGAGGAGGAGGAGGAGGAGGAGGAGGAGGAGGAGGAGGAGGAGGAGTAGGAGTAGGAGGAGGAGGAGGAGGAGGAGGAAGAGGAGGAGGCTCTGACCCAGCGCGGGCGTGCTCTCGCCGCGCCACGAGTACCGCACGGCCACCCCCGCCATCACGGCCGGGGGCAGGGGCCGAGGCGGGCGTGGCGCGCTGCCGCGCGCTCGTCGAGCCGGCCGGGGGAGGAGGAGGCGGAGAAGGAGGGAGAGGAAGGAGGAGGAGAGGGGAGAAGGAGGGAGGAGGAGGAGGAGGAGGAGGAGGAGGAGGAGGAGGAGGAGGAGGAGGAGGAGGAGAGGAGGATGGGGAGGAGGAAGAGGAGGAGGGGGAGGAGGAGAAGCAGGAGAAGCAGGAGGAGGAGGAGAAGCAGGATGATGATGATGATGATGATGATGATGATGATGATGATGACGAGGAGGAGGAGGTGGAGGAGGAGGAGGAGAAGCAAGAGGAGGTGGAGGAGAAGCAAGAGGAGGAGGAGGAGGAGGAGGAGGAGGAGGAGGAGGAGGAAACGATCTATCGATCAACAACGCCGTGTCTGCACGGCACATATGCTGGAGAAGCGCCGCCGGCTGGAGGCGCATGCCCAGGCCAGGGCACAACAAGACAAGCAAGGAAAGTTCAGGTAGAACCAATCGTCCTGGCTGGAAACTGTCTTCCACACGTGCGGGCGACAGTGCTCAGACTTGAGACATGCAAGCAAATCGTCCTCCTCGGGTGCTTGCTGCAGGAAGGGAGAGGACAGGAGGACGAGGAAGAGAGCGGGACAAGTCAGCGGTTTCATCAAATCCATGCCGGAGGAAAGTGTACACCAAATAGCGCGCCAACCGCTCCGCGCTTCACCCTCTGTGCCGCGGCTGCCAAGAAACGGCCGAGGCGGGCGTGGTGTCGCGACTGCACTTGTCTCTCATGCCGCCCCTCGCGCTTCACTCGCAAGCGGCCGCCTGGCACAGCAGGCTGACGAATGCTGCTGTCTGCTGCCACCGCGGCCTCTTGGCCTCCAGGAGGTCGCCGTGCGAACTCCGCAAGCTCCTCGGGCTTCGCGCGAAGCCCGCCGTCGGCTGCCAACGCCCGCCGAAGCCGGCGCCGCCCTGCCACCGCGCGAAACGCAGCTGCCGCGAGCTCCAAGCCATCCTCTGCGCACGTCTCGCCTTTTGGGTGGCTGCTCGCGGTGGAGGAGGAGGAGGAGGAGGAGGAGGAGGAGGAGGAGGAGGAGGAGGAGGGGGTGGGGGAGGAGGAGAAGGGGGAGGACAAGAAGGATGAGCCCGCCTCCTGCACCCTTCCCTTCCAGTCCTCCCCCATCATCGTCCTCCTCCTCCTCCCTTCTCTTCCCTCCTCATAGATTCTCTCCTCCCTGCCGATGCGGACGCTCCGCTGCTCATAGATTTCGTTAGAAACCGAAATTTCTGCGTCACTCACGAACGTCGAACGGTGATCAATGTATGACAAATGACGGCAACAAACGTAACTTTCTTGAATGCTGAACATGTTCTTTGGTTTGAACGCATGGCGCCCACCGGAAAGGATCCAACCATGTGGAAACATAGCTATCTCTACACTCTCTTGGCCGGTCCTGCCTCCTCCTTCTCATCCCCTTTATACCCCCGCCGTTGCTCTCGTTTGCTCATCATTTCCTATCCCCTGCCCGCCTCCCCGACCGCCCTCTTTCGTTCGCCTCTCAACGTCGGGTGAAATCTATCCGGCGGACATCCCATCGCTGTCCCCCGGGGGGGGGGGGACGCGGGCGAGGTTCGGCGGCGCGCAAAGGATGGTGGCACGAGGGGAGCTAACTTCTCAGAAGGCGAGGGGGGGGGCTTCTGAGAAGGCAGCGGCCTTCTCAGAAAGGCCTGGAAGCTTCCACGATTTGAGCAGAGACCGACCGTCCCGGCATTCCTCTTCTAAGGAAAAACAGTGTTCTTATGACTTAAACCCGATGTGTTAAAGCAAGGCAGACTCCGCCAGGCATGTTCTAAGAACAGTTCGTGGGAACCACAGAAGGTTCTTAGAACATTGTTTGGTAGGGCTAATTATAGGCGAGCCAGGACGCTTCGCCACTGCTTGAACGACGGTATCTTCGAATCCGGGAGAGCTTCTAAGACGGCGCATGACTTCCAAGAGCCCCCCATACGTCTTCTCAGGAGGCTGTCCCCCTCGCGCCGCCCCCCTGTGCTCGCCGCCGACGGCAAGAGCGATCCCACTCGCGCCCCTTCGGGCGTGAGTGGCTTCGCGGGCTGCCTCTCCCAGCCCACCTTCTTCCCCTTCGGGGAGGCACGTTGGCGGCGAGCACAAGGGGGTGGGGGGAGGGGGGAGGGCTTCTCAGAAGGAGGTTGCTTCTTAGAGGGCGCCGGCCTTCCACCTATAGGCAAGGCCGGCGCCTTCTAAGAAGCAGGGGTGCTTCTAGGAAGCCCTCCCCCCTCTCCCCCCACCCCCCTCTGCGTGGCCGAGCACGTCTCACAGATGCGCCCGGCCGTGGGCTCTCTGCTCTCTCGCGGCCGTGAATGCCCACCCCGCCCTTCGAGGCTGGGGCGCGGACGGGCAGGCGTGGCGCGCGGCCCGAGAGGAAGACTTACCCCCTTGCTGCTGCGCGCGGCCCTTGCCCGGCCCACGCGGCTTACAGGCCAGGCCCTGTGGGGCCCTGACGACGCGCGCGCTACCCTGACGACCTTCTTGGCCCTGAATGGTGCGCGAGACGAACTTCTTGCATTCTATGCTAGGTGGGATCCTTCTGGGAGCCACGATGCCCGCTGGTCCCCTGACCTCGTGGACGCGGAAGGTCACGCGGGGCGCAGGCGATACCATCCCGAGAAGCACAGGTTCCAGGCGCCTGGCCATGATGTGCTACCTGCTTCCGCCGACGCTCCAGTGCTGGATGCGCCGACAGACGCTGCCACCGAGCAGTCGTTCGCAAACGACTTGGCCTCGGCAGGCGTTCTCCCTGAGGGGCCGCCGCCGCCGCCAGGCCCCCCACCACCCGAACCTACCGAAGCCCAGAAGGATCGCGTACTCGAGAAACGATCTGCAGCGCTGATGCGGAAGGCAGCCAAACTGCAAGCCGCCAGGGATGCATGGCATTTGGCGGTGGCCCCTTGGACTGCCCAGGACCTCCGCTTCAACTTCACAAGCCGCGGTCATTGCTCGTGGTGCCGTCGTGGTCTTGGCGCAATGTCATCACAAGTTTCGTCCTAATCATCACTATCTTCACTGACTTCCACGGTGCGGTCTTTGCCGGCTAAATGAGTTGGAACAGCGGTCGCCCCCGTCTCCCTGTGGGCGCCACACAGGTAGGTCACCGAACCACAGACCAACTACTACACCGTCCTCTCTCCTCCTCAATGCCTCGCTCATTTTTTCATCAACGCGGTCATGATGTCTTCGCTGACTGTTACGGCGCGGCCGTTACTGGCTGGCTGGGTTGGAACAGCGTTCGCCCCCGTGTCCCGGTGGACGCCACACGGGTAAGCCTCCGACCCGCATACCAACTACTACAGTCGGACTCGATTGGACAGGACACGCGAGAGGACACAAGACCCTTCCAGGGTCCAAAATGCCACAGGAATGCTGAAGGCATGGGCCTCGAGAACCAGGACACAAGGGTACCCTTGATCTGGTAGGGTCGACCTACTCATGCGGATCGCCTGTGCACCGTCCTCTCTCCTCCGCAATGCCTCGCTCAGGTTTTCTTCAACGCGGTCATGTGCCTTTGAAGGGGCCCCAGGACACACAAATAAATACACACAAATGGCAGGATTCTTAAAATTTCATTGTATTTTCTGGTTTTTTGTCTTCCCCCCCACTTCCCATATTTTCCGATATATTCCTGGGAGTCGACGATTACTTGTGTCTGTGTTTTTTTCCCCTCCTGTGCCTAATTAGTGTGTTTGCAGTGTGATAGTTATTCGGGCCGGGGCTGCAGAGCGTGTCTCTTTCTGCACACTCCTGGACACCCACTGGCAAAGTCTCTCATGGTGTCATCGGCGCCGACGGGCGAGCTGGGCTTTGCTGCTCCTATCGCGCCACCTGCGCTGTCGATGCGAAGATCGTGGCACGAATGTCCATGGCGTCTGCGTATTGCAGGCACGATGCCGTTCCTCCACCGGCGGTGTCTCTTACTGCTCCCTCTTAGAATGTGGTGACGCTACTTTGGCCGAAAGTTTGGTGACGTCAATCCCGGCCGGAAGTGGCTGTCCCGGCCTGTCCGCGCGCGACGGCGTCCAGGACCTCCTGCCTGTCATGATATTGTACAGCGCTCCGCCAGGGCATACAAAAGGTTTGGTCGGTCCAATTCTCCTGGCGCCACATATACACAATTTCGACCCACCTGGTGGGACCGATCGTCACACCGTCGGGGGCCCTGGGCTGGACCATGGAAGGACTTCTCGTGAAGCGGACGCTGACGGGCGTGCACCATGGCACACCATGGTAGCCGAAAAACTTTCGAGTTCCCGTCCGGAGGTGTGGTGCTGTTAACCTGGCCGGACGCATGGTGACGACAGCTTGGCCGGAGGTTGATTAATAACTCTTTCGAAACATTCGGGGAACAAGAAGTGGCACAAACATAAACACTCGGAGGTCCCAGGAGCTCGCCAGGGGCGGCGCCGGAGGCGCCGCCAGGGGGCCCCAGCGCCGATGCGAGAAATCCGCGCGGACCTCGGAGTTTTGATGTTTATGCCACTTGTTGACCCCCTATTGCTTACTCTTTCAGAACATGGGCCCCTGCCTCGACTTGGCGGCGTCTTGAAGGTGAGGTGGGCACAGCGTTGCTTCGGTTCACGGCACGCGCCCCCTCCTCCGCTGCTGCCCCGTGCCTCCCTCTCGCTGTCGGCCTCTTGCTTCGCTTCGGAGGCCCACGCCTCTCTCCGCCGCCGCCCCTGCCGGTCTGTGCCGGGCGGGGCTGGTGTGCCCCCTGGCAAGCTCGGGCTCAGGGCTGGGCGCCCCGCCTCGCACTGCGGGGCTGGCGGGCGGGAGAAGAGCTGCGCTGCCCCTGGCTCACGGGGTGTGCGCGATTCCCCCAAATCACGGCACGAGGACCGCCTCAATGCCCGCTCCGACCGACCGACCCGTTCCCCTCTTTCTCCTCCTCCTCCTCCTCCTCCTCCTCCTCCTCCTCCTCCTCCTCCTCCTCCTCCTCCTCCTCCCCCTCCTCCCCCTCCTCCGATTCCCCATCCATCCTCCCCTTCTTCGGTGGCTTCCCTGGCCCTTGATTTGACTGCATGCCCCTCCACATCCCTGATC